TGGATATGTGAGATAAGATTTCATTTTCTTCCCTTTATATATTGTTTGTATTGAATTGTTTGTATCGATTGCATTTTTTTTCTTTTATTCAAATGGCCAGTGATAAAAAAAAAAAAGTAGTTTTTTTTTTGTTTGTTTTACTAATACTACTGAATCAGATATTTATATTTATGTTCCCTATGTAGTAATGAATGGGTTATTATGGCAACCAGGATTCGTTTTGATCAAAAATATAGTAAAAATAGTAATAATCTGAAATATTAAAACAACTATTTTCTGTTTGAATTTATTTAAAATGCAGCTTATTCCTGTGATGTTAAATCTGAATTTTCAGCACCATTACTCCAGTTTTCAGTGTCACATGATCCTTCAGAAATCATTCTAATATGCTGATTTGCAATGATTTACAATGCTGTTTCATGCACTCAGAGTTGTTTACACTGTTAAAGAGTTGGATTCTCATGCTAAGCATGGACAAAGTTTCAAGAAACAATTTGGACCTATGACGGAGTATTTCTGTGCCAAAATTCGTACTTCCGGGTTCATACAAGTTTTGGAGAGTTTTTTTCGGTCGTGGCTCTTCATGACGTAGACGAGGGTGGAACTCCTTATTTGGGCATTTCTCCCGGAAGAACGCACCCGCGCACGCATCGACCAGAGTGAGAGCGATCGCGCCCATCAACAGCGCTTCATCCGGCGGCAGCGCTGCACGGGACGTGCTCGGGAAAAATGTCTCCAATCCAAAGAAGTGTGTTTTTGGTGTAAGGGAAATATAACTTTGTTCAGCTTCCTAAAGAACCCAGCGTTATGTAAGCAGTGGATACAGTTTGTTTTTCCAGGGCAGCAATGGAGTTTCACAAGTGTGTTTGTTGACAGACGTTTTATAAACAAGGCCCAGTTCGACGCTGGATTTGCACATCGTTTGATACTGAAAGATGGAGCGGTCCCAGCTATAAAAGATCCCGGTCAAGATTCAGAACTGCAGACGGTAAGTGTAACTGCATCAAATGTCTGTTTTGTTGGCATTCGGCGCCCAAGTGC